GTAGCTAAACATGCTAGTAGATGTAGCTAAATATGCTAGTAGATGTAATCTGCAGCCACTTCTTCAGCTCGTCTTCCATCCCTCGTCCTCAGCAGGCAGTGGTATGATTATATTGTCCTGTTTGAGCTCTGACAGGTGGTGTTCATACATTTTTAAATTACTTTGTAAATCTACAAAGTACAATGCTCGGAGAAACTACATTAGATTGTACTGTTCACACAGAAACGAATGCTGGTTCTGGTCTGTGCCGAAAGTTGCACCCATAATTCATGCAAGGCGGCATGGGAGCTAGAAATAAGGTGGATAGAAAATAAAAACAAGAAACAATAACATGTAAACAAATATGAAACACCTGCTGAACAGATTGAATCTTTAAGAAATTCCCTGAGAAATGTAAGGTGGATTTTCCCACAGGACTAGTTTTCATCTCAGCGCAGGCTGCTGTAAAAAGTTGATGTTAAAATACACAGCGTTAAATGATGAGCACACTGCATTCAGCTAAAGGACCGGTTCTGGAACAGAGAAATCTTTTTTTTTCCTGTACCTCTGTCTGTGTCGTGCTTCCCTCTACTTGTCTTTTCCTTCTTCTCTGGGCACCAGAGAGCTTTGGTTGTTTACACATTCTTCATACATTTTGGGCTCACATGAGCACCGGAGCAGTGAGGAAGGAGGGGGAAGAGCAAGAGGACGTGGGGGGGACAGGTACAGTCTAAGTAGCCGGGGAGGAGGACGAGGAGGAGGAGAGAGCGCCCTTAGCATTTGCTTACAGGCCGACTCTGAAACGTAAAATAAATGTGAAGCTGACAAATTCATAAGATTTTCTCTGTACCGCTGCAGTCATGAAAAATGGGGACAAAGCCGTAACATTTATAGAAAATCTGTAAGACTTGGCATGCATGTAAACATTTAGACTGTTCTGGGTGTTTGCCTTCATGCATTTTTACAAACTCAATCACTAAGAGCTTCTTTAATGAGAGTGATTTTCTTTCTGCCCATGCACCGACTCAATGACTTCTCTGAAACATCAAACTAACTGATGGCTCCACACATCGAGGCAGTGAAAAGAAAGAAAGATAATACTCACACTTACCAACTGCAACACGTCTTCATCTTTTGGCATAATGCAGAGCTCCAAAATGTTTTCACTACATAAAATGAGAAGGAAAAAGTCCAGCATCACTGATATATATGAAATGTGAAATAAATAGATTTAACATAAAAACTGCTGATTTCCACCTGTTCTGGATGAGCGCAATGACCTGAGAGTAGGTTTTCCCCAGAACGCTCTCACCATTCACCTTCACCAGTCTGTCTCCTGCAGGAAACAAACATGCAAAGGAGGGTCCAAATGTGCAGCAACAAAGATGTCTGAAGCTCCATCAGATTTTAACAAAAAACAGCATGGTCTGCCTTTAGATGGAATACTACTGGCAGGAAAATGTTTTATTGTGTCAGCAGCAGAAATGTCGGCAGCATCCATATCCTGATAAATATAGACATCAGGCAGAACTTCGGCCTTCTGTGTTTATTTAGTACCTAGGTCATGGGTTTCCACTCAGCAGGTAAGATTTTTTCAAAGCCCAGGCCTTGAAATAATCTGATTCAAAGTCTCTGAGGACAAAAGCACAATGCTCTGTATTTAGCACCAATAACGTAAACACAACAAGCTCTGCGCTGATGTGCCCCATCGCTGAACGACTTGAAGAGTGAATGTTTGTAGTTGTTTTATTTTAGATGAATTGATGAGTGTTTTTTGCACTGCAGTTGAACAGGGAATGCAGGTAAACCTTAATGTTTTTGGCGTAAAAGAGTCAAGTGGGTATGAGTTACACTGTGAAGAAGAAGTAGGATTTTTTTTTCTTGTCCAATGCAGCTCAGAGTGAAAGATCCTGGCAAGTGGCCAGCGCACTAATAGAGCCAGTTGGTGGCCAATGGTGGCCTTGGCTCTCATACGTAAATCATTGGCCACCCTAAGCAATATGAAAACTAGAAAGCATAGCGTTACATACCGTTGCCGTACTTTGCTACTGTTACGTAGCGAAGAGAAGGAATTGGAAGTATCGGTTCATATATATATATATATATATATATATATATATATATATATATATATATATATATATGTCATAGCTCTGCTCTCTGTCAGCTCCTCTGTCATGCTGCACACTCAGTAATCACTCAACTCATGTCACCTGTCACCGCTCATTATCCCACAGCTCCACCACCTGGTCCAGTCAGTACTTAAGTTCACTCATTCCTCTCAGTCTGGGCCAGATTCTCTATCCTGTCTCATCAGCAGTAGACTTTCCAGCATTCCATTGATTGACTCATCACGTTCATGACCCTTGCCTTGACCACGACCACGCTTTTGCCTCAGCCCTCATCTGCTTTTGCTCATCTGATCAGGTACTGACTCATGCTCTTGTTTTTTGACTCTCTTTTTGGATCACGTACTGGATACTTCTGCTGAACAACTGACTTCACGGTATGAACTCTGCCTTTCCCTTCTGACTGTTTTTTTTGGATCACGGATTAAAGGTCAAGCTCATTCTGTATCACGGACTTATCCTTACCCCTGAATCTGATTCCCACAGATTCATTTCCCCAATTAGTCTCTTTCCCCCTGCATCTACTAACCTTTATCTTTTAGTTGCAAGCTTGCTGGACTCCGTTCCAGTGGACCTTAACATCTGTTCTACTTCTACTGGCAGCCCGCCACTACAACACTACCCAATCACAAACTACCAATCAGAAGGTCGGAACCAGCCCAGAACCGGACCTACTCCAGAGTTTACTTTATTTCACAATAAATCTTTTAACCCTCTCAGTGGTTGTTGTTGTTGTTTGCGATCCGGCCTCTGGTTCATGACATATATATATATATATATATATATATATATATATATATATATATAT